AATGTTACCACACTAAATCCTAATTTGTCTCTTCACTTTTTGATTGTTTAGTGTAGAAACTTATAGAGAAAAACTGAGAGATGCAACTTGTGTCAATTCATACGTTTGCTTTAAAATATACACACTAGAAGAAGAAAAATCGACTGGACAGAATAAAATCTCACAAACTGATACGACAAAAACATGGAAAAGTTACACAAAAGTCTCAAAGAGTATATATATATATATATATATATATATATATGCTTAGTTTTTTTAAAAAATTTCATTTGTTATGAAATTATTGTTAACTGATAATTAAATCAGGACTCAAACATTTTCATATCACTTAGAACATATCTTTTATATATAAAGACATAAATCTAGATTAAATACATGTGATATATGTATAACAGTTTAAAATGCTTACTTATTATATATTTACTGATTCATGGGTATAGTGTACGATTAATTTTAAAGAAATAAAATAAAAAAAATATACTTTAATGAAGAAAAATTTCCAACATATTATTGTACGTGTTTTTTGAAATGTTGACTAAATTTAACGAATTTGGGTTCGCTAAAATTTATTAATTAATATTTTTTGTGAAATGCCCTCTTTTTAAGCAATTTCTTCATTTATTTCACATCACTTTTAAAAAACGATAGTTTTTTTTTTTTTTTTAAATCTCCGAAAAAAAACCAGATTTAGGTCGCTTTTCTACATTCTCAAGTTTTTAGACATAGTATAAAAGTAAAACTCTCATAGGAATTTTAATTGGATTTTGTCTTAAAATTTCATAATTTTATAAATAAATAAATTTATTTTCCTTAAATCCTGCAAAATGTTAGGTATAACTTCAAATTGAATATTTGGCTATTAAATATCTTTGCAATTATTGATCAATGTTGTATTTGAGAGTCATTCGGGCAATACAATGTTGATTTTGAAATTTTTGAAACAAAAAATTTAATTTATGTTTCTTTACAATATCTCTTCTTTTAAATTATAACGAAATATAAGATTTAATACAAATATATTTGAATATTATATGGTGCTTTATTCCTTTTGTAAGTTGCATTGGCTATAAAATGTTTTATTCGCATAGATGAACAATAGATAAGGTTTTGAAACACTTTAAATAGGAACAAAATAATATTGGAGAGATTTATGGTTAATTAGCATATAATAATAATATTTCCTCTAGAATCTTAAATACGTAATATATATGTATTTAAATTTGATATGAGAGATCCCTTCCTAAGTGGTAGATGAACCTTAATTGAGCCTTAAAATTGGCAGAATGCTATGAAGAAGTGAGAAAGATAAAACCTAGATTCGTTGTCAGAGCTTATAAAAATGTAGAATAGTAATATCTGGAATAAAATGAATGAAATTAGGTGTTAAGACATTCTCCTCAGGAATAAATCGTTTACCTCTATCAATGATATAAATCAAAAGAAATGACTTCAGAAAATTATACTAGATCCGGATGGTTTTATTGCCAAGTGCTCGGTTATATAAAATCTGAAAGCTTTAAACTAATCAAAAAGAAAGAGGCAGAATTCCTCAATAAAGAAATTTGTAAGATATTTCGAACTACAGCATAAAATTCCCAAAATAAATACTTAAATGAAAATTAATAGAAAATTTCGAACTTGGTTGCATAAATGAAGTTTATTGTAATACTGCCTTAATAACGCTGAAAACATGTTTTCAAATTCTAATTCTTTTTGGATTTGTTTACAAACAAAATACTTTCCCAAATACACTAACAAACTTGTAACAATTCACATTTCGAGTGCTTCCTTTGAAGAGAACTCGCTTTTCAGAGATATCGTCTCAAAAGAACTTACTGTTTCAGCTCGTTAAATCGAGAGCTCTTTATTCAAATCATACTGCAAACACTCTTACCTAAATTGGATGCTTTCAACTCCACTCTAAATAGTTAAGAGGAATAAGATGAAGTTGTACGATGACAGCAATTAAGATTCGTGGAGCCATCTTAATTGCATGTGCCCATTAACTTGCAGTTAAGCTTTAGTCAGTGACAGAATGGAACAATTTTGAAGCGGGAACATTGGGTAGTACCTAAAATATCAGTTCTGTAATTAGCATTGGTTGTGCTGGAGGAAGATTTGGTGGAATACAAACCTTCGACATCTTCGACAAGGAAGAATGTCCTTATTTTATGCATGTTTGTGTAATATTCCTTTTTTTAAAATTGAAAGCATTACAAGTCAAATTTAAAACTGAGATATATGTGCATTTGTGTATTTACATATATAAGCAAAATCGCATACATAAATATAAATTATTACATATAAGCAATATTATTAAATAATTTTTTTGGCATTTGCAAAACATTTACTTACCTTTAGGTACATCAGTAGAGAATATACTTCATTTAACCTTAAAAATTAGCATAGAATTTACAAACATAACATTCTATACATTAAGCATAAATATAGTTTCAAAAGTCAATTTTAATAAAAAGGTTTTTCCATTCAATTTTATGGTCCAAAGTTTCATAACTTTATCAAAATATTGCACAATGCTTAAAATTTGGGAATCCTTATTGAATAAATGTATTTTCTCTGTATAAACTCATATCATAATGAGTAAATTTTCAAATCTGTGAATAAATTAGATTTTGTGGAAAGTGTACCTGAATCCAAAAACGCCATAAATTAAACGAAAATATAAATATGGATAGTTTTCTTTCCAGCGCGTGGTACGTGTGTTTATTATTTAAAAATTCAGTTTTGGAACGTTTTATTCTTATCAAAATACGCCTATGGAATCATCATATTCCTCCCTTTTATTGAAAGTGAAATAAGAAAATTGAGAAAATCGAAACATTTTATTGTTTCAGTTACCTTAAAATATTACGAATATTTAACGAATCTTAACGAATATTTAACGAATCTTAACGAATATTACATTTTTCGAAGAAACGTGATACTATATTAGGAAGGATAATTATCTTTATCCTTATCTAAACTTTATAGAAATTATAATTCCCATTTTTAGAAATACTTATCAATCAAGAATTCCTGTTTTCATAATCCTGTCTAAATTTTAATGGAAGTATTATTTCGCCTAAACTTTAGTCATTGTATTACGTTAGAAAATATAAAATTTGTAAAAATGATACTTTTTCGTTTTTTAAGAATTCTAGTTAACTGTCAGTATCTGATTATATGCGACTTTATAAAAATGATTTCTTGAATCTCATAAAGAATTACCATCTAAATAAGAAATATTTTTATTGCACAAAATATTTGGTTTTGATTTATAATAAAAGCATCATTATAAATAAAATGTATTTCTATATATTTCAAAAAAAAAAATCCTTTTTGTTCATGAAAGTCATGAGAATTGTTAAGCTTTTATTTAGTCGTATTTAGTTTAGCAAATATGATTTTATTCTTTTCAGATATTTCTATTATTTAAAAAATATCTCAGGAATTTTTTCTAAAACGGTTTTACAAATATGCAAAAGGCTACATAAAAGGCTATATCTAGTTCTATATTACATTAGAATTCTATATAACATTGATATTTTGGAGCCAAGAGATAGATATATTAATTCGTTATTAACACTATAAACGTAACTCGTTGGCTAATGATGATGGAAATCGTAATTTTGAACTTCGATCAAATGACAAGGACTACAGTAAACTGGCATTCCGATTTCCAAACTTTCACAATACGCCGACAAAAGGATTTGGAGCCTCGAGACATTTTAATTACAAAGTGGAAGTGTAATGGACACAAGACTGGAATCCACGTGTTGTCAGAAAAAACTCGCAGCGAGCTGTTAACTATGACCCCTTAGATACAACAGCCTTTAGAGCCAACAGACAATGAAAGTTAAAAGATATAGATGGTCTGAATTTAACTACATTTCTTAATTACAAATAGCCTTGAACCTCCTGCTCAGTTTTGAGAGAATTGCGCTCTGAATACAGCTTGTGTAAAATGAAAAAATAAATATATAAATAAAAATTACATTTTTTTTAAAAAAAAATTCCAACTTTAAAAGTGCACGAGCATAGTTTAATCACTGTTTTAATCATTCTATTCAACTGAAACCGATTCTTACAGTTGTCTTAATTCTCAAGTTTTAAATATCGTACAGTTAATTTTTTGAATAAAATAACCATTTTGTCAGCAGTACATCGAATATATGAGAGTGACACTTCTACAAATTTCGAAACTTTGCAAGTATTTCAAATTTATTAAGCCCTAACTCCATAAAGCAATATTTCTATAGAATATATTCATATTATCAACAAAGCAAAATGTTAGGAAATAACCGTAATCACTGTGACATTGGGCTATTCTCGTTTTTTTTTTACTAACTTCGGATACTTTTATTGAGTTGAGTTGTTGTAGCGATAGCTTAGTTGTCAAAGCAGCGGATTCGAAGTCTCCAGTTTCGGTCGATTCATAGATTCCAATAAGTATTAAAGTGATATAAGATATTAATCAGCATTTTGGAAAAGTTTTGCATTGGCAATTCATAATAAGGAATCCATGGATAAGCTTTGATTATTCACATTCGCACTCATATTTATGTGGCCCTTAGTTATGTCACATTAGCCCTTCAAAAAGAGAGTGTATAAAAACAAGCAGCTTTATCTCAACTGCTTTCTTAAAGCAAAATAATAACACCGGTAAAAAACATAATTTTTAAACATGGGTTTTCTTCCAAACTTCACACATTGCGCAAGTTTTTATACCTTAAAACTTTATTAGCGGATAGTTTAATTTGAAGATTTCAATATTCAACTTTTTCACGTTGTAAGCAATTGGAATTACGGTTAAACTTAAGCTCTTTAAATAATTAGTTTTAATCAATTAATTTTTAATTATTATTAAATTATCCAAAACTATTGTGTATAGAAAATTTCAGCTGAACTGAGCGCTTTAAAATGTGAGAAAAAAGCTTTGGACTTGACATAGATACAATGTGAGTAGAAGAAAACTCATTAATGAAGGAAGCAATAACCTTCTGAAGAGCTGGGGATCAAACCCAAGGCCTTTTGCTTTCATAAGCAAAACGATCGCTCCACCACTGCGCTACCCTTCAGGTTTTTATGATGTAAGCAATTGGAATTATGATTAAAATTTAATTCTTTAAATAATTAGCTTCAATCAATTAATTGTTATTAATTATAATTAAATAATCGTATTGTCATTCAAAAAATTCGTATACAGAAAATTTCAGCTCAAACGTGTGCTTTAAATTATGAGAAAAAAGCTTTTAAACTTTTGACCCAGACATAAGTGCAATGTGAGTAGAAGAAAACTTATTAAAAATTTATAGTTGATCTAGCTCTTAGACAATGTTTCCGCAACGTGAAATGCTCGGAGGGGTTCTTAACACTATAGAGAAAAAAATAAATTTAAAAATTCGTTTTTATTTTTCGCATACCGAAAAAATGTTTCATTTAATAAAATACACACAAGCAGAGAGAGAATTATTTATTACGACACGTCTTTATTTGAAGTTTTCTAACTGATGATATACTACTTACATATACATTCTCATCTCTTAACCACTTTCTTTTTATTTTGAACCTAAAATTGAATTTAATTTTAAATATAAATTCATTTACATTCAGTAAGAAACAACGGTGGAAGATTCCATGAACGTTAGTCATTTAGAAATACCTCAGGAATCAAATTAGGACCCATTAGTATATTGCGGTGTTAGTATAAGCGTCTACCACAAACTCTACTTAAACAAAACTACTATCTAATTAATCTATTTAACCAAAAAGTCCCGAGGTATAATCAATAGATTAAATCTAATGAGGATTACTTGGATTAGGTTTGTGTTTTTCCTGACACCGAGGAAAATACTATGCATCAACTGTTTTCTATAACATTTGTCCCTCTCGATAGAGCAAAATAATACAAAATGAGAAAATATCATCGAATTGTCAACCAAAATTCAATTTATATTTAGTGGTCTTTTCGGTCTTTGGTGATCTTTGGCCACGTTCAATGATTAATTACTTACTTTGATAAAAAAGAACTTGGGAAACTATTTAACTATTTTTCACAAGTCAAATCATTTCCATTTCCTCTAAAACATTTGTATATAGACAAATATATCTTTGAGTTATGCTAAAAACAAAATAGGTAGGTTAGAAAATACTATTTTGATAAATTATTTTGCAATTATTGCATAGTAAAACCAGACATTTGGACTAAATATAATATACTTCTTTTTTTTTTTTTTAATAACGGTGGTCAAAAAATTTGTTATCGAGTCGAAATTTTGGCATACGCTTCCAATTGTTACATTTAAAAACGTTGCACTTGATTTGAAGGTATTTAAACATTTTATATGAACCGTCGAGTCTTAATTAAGGATTTCATGTAAGGATTAAAAAACAATAACTACAGTTGTTGTTCTCCCGTATCCGTTTTTCTCCTAAGATCTGAGCCATTGACACTATTTGAGTCGAAAATAGTATGGTTCTCAAATCTTTAAAATACATTTATTCTATATGAGAGACATCCAAATCAAATTTAATTGCAAATGTGGAGCGTTTACTATCTCGCGTCATAGACACATAACTACCATAATTGTAATTCCTATTTATCTCAATAGCAGCTAAAATGGATTTGATTCAGAAATATGCATAAAAGATTTCCACCATTTTCCCATGGCAATATAGTATGGACAACGCACTCGCTATGTAACGCTTCTCCGTTATTCAATTTAGTTGACATCCACAATAATTTAATTAGTAGTGAGGTAACAATAAGTTCTCAATTTAATGTAGAGTCGTCAGATAAATAACTAAATCATTTTAAAAATAATTATATTAATCAACACCCTCTTTATGTTTAATTTCATCAACACTCTTTATTCTTGTTTAGATTTAAATTTTATAGTTCTTGCTGCACACTTGCCGAGTGAAGTACTTCTCAAATCCTGAAATTTCGAATACTGTTTTACAAATTAATCTAACTAGGAATAACATATCCTACCACTTTTAAACTTAAGATATCAACTACTACGTTTCACTCCAATTTTTTTACTGCAAGTATCTACCGACTTTTCCCTTTCAAATACACGTACCGTTACGTAGATCACGTCTCATTTGTTAGTTCAAGGTTTGATTTTATGAAATTGAAATTACAAAATGTTGATAAATTTAGTAAAGAGAAAAACGCAAACAGCCGAACATTACACCTACTTCTATAGGCAACCATGTTAATCATCCAAACATACGGATAAGAACCAGTCATACATAATAAAACTTCAAACTTTCTTCAAACTTTTCCAGAAAACAGCAATTATCGAAATATGAGACATGCCCCCCCCCCTAAAGTGGCCGTGATTGCATTAAACAGGGAGGGGTGAGCATATCGTAAAGACAACATAATTTAAAAAACAAGTAACTTACTGAAAAAAAACCATACATAATACACTCTAACAAAATTTAAAATACTCATTTAAACTGATGTAATACACTCTTAAATAGGATTGTACCAGGACGCACAGTGTTGTTAAATATCATATGAACAACACTAAATTAAAAACTGATAATTATAAGTAAAAAACGTAACCTGGTTTGCAGCGCGAAGATTTTCGAAGTGTATTATTAACAGGTCAATTAAAAAGTCCTCGGCTTACCATAGTAAAAAACATTTTTTTGGCAACATTAGTTTTTTATATTCAACATAATTAACTTCAAGGGTGATACACTGATTATAGCGACCCTCCAACTTTTTGATACCATTTTTATAGTACGATTTGTCCTCTGCTTCAAGATAGGCCTCAGTTTCGCCGATCACCTCTTCATTCGACGACAATTTCTTCCCAGCGAGCATTCTTTTGAGATCTGAGAACAGGAAATAGTCACTGGGGGCCAGATCTGGAGAATACGGTGGATGAGGAAGCAATTCGAAGCCCAATTCATGGATTTTTGATATCGTTTTCACTGAATTGTGACTCGGTGCATTGTCTTGGAGAAGCAGCACTTTCTTTTTCTTCAAATGCGGCCGTTTTTCGGCGATTTCTTCCTTCAAACGGTCCAATAACGCTGTATCATAGTCGCTGTTGATGGTCCTTCCTTTTTCAAGGTAGTCAATGAAAATTATTCCATGCGCATCCCAAAATACAGACGCCATAACCTTTCCAGCCGACTGTTGCGTTTTCCCACGCTTTGGAGCGGGTTCATCAGGAGCAGTCCCCTCGGATGACTGTCGATTGGACTTCGGAGTGAAATAATGGAGCCATGTTTCATCCATTGACACATATCGACGCAAAAACTCGGGTTTATTACGCTTGATCATCTTCAAACACTGCTCCGAATCATCAACTCGTCGTTCTTTTTGGTCAAAAGTGAGCTCGCGAGGCACCCACTTTGCACAGAGCTTTCTCATACCCAAATATTCATGAATGATATGATGCACACGTTCAGTTGATATCTTTAGAGTGTCCTATTTCCTTCAATTTCAATTTATGGTCATTCGAAATCATTTTGTGGATTTTTTTTAATGTTTTCTTCGGTAACGACCTCTTTTGGGCGACCACTGCGTTCACCGGTGCACATTTCTCCACGTCTAAACTTAGCATACATATCCTTGATGGTTGATTTTCCTGGGTCAGTGTCCGGAAACTCTGCATCAAGCCAAGTTTTTGCTTCAACTGTTTTTTTTCCCTTGAAAAAGCAATATTTTATCAACACGCGAAATTCCTTTTTATCCATTTTTTTCACAATAACAAAAGTTGCTTTACTCAAACTGCTATAATTCACAAACTAATGATCCAAAAGCTGTCAAATTTATACACGCATCTTTTGAGGGTTAGGGCCAACTAAAAAACATATGGATTTAATTCTAGTGGCGCAATCTATGTGTCAGGCTGGGGACTTTTCAATTGACCTGTTATATCCATTGTTAACATATAAAATCGTAAAACGAATCTTAGATGTTCCTAAGACTTGTTCACGATTTTTCCAAAAGATATCAACTTATACATTAAACTGATATTTACAGTTTCAATATTGAGAGAAGTTACTATCAAAATACAGTATTCAATCTATAAACCATAACTTCACCTTTCAAACTTACAGTAATCTGTTGTTCTAATACAGACTGGCAAATCAGCGACAATTATTATATACGTTTGAATTAAATGGAATAATATAGATTATTAAAGTAAAATAGTAAATTTTTTGGTAATTTTTGTTAATTAATACTTTGGTGTTTTAATTGTGTGCACCGAACTATTTTATGCAATTGTCTGTTGTCTAAATTCATTATTATTAGGGAAATTCTTGTGATGATTCGTTTACAGTATTCCATGATGTAGTGGTCACATATCCGTTTAGTTTTTATTAACGTCACACTAGAAGCGACACGAAGGCTATGCGACGGACTTTGTAATTTTGAACCACAGTCAATTGACGAGGACGACTCCTGGGCAGGCAAGTCCTCTCCTAACTTCCACACCACGCTAACGGGAGGACTTTGGACCCCGACAGATTTAACGTGAATAAGCCCTGGCTACACGGCGGATCGTTAGCGGTCAAGGATCGAGTCCGAGATTGAACGAAAACCGCCGGCAACGAGTCCGAAGCCATGACCACTAGTCTTGTTTATTGCATTATTTATAAAGAAATCTGACTATTAAACTAAAATATCAATTTAATTTAATCTCTTTTATAAAGGACTTCAATTTTATTTATTCTGTTTAAATCATAAAGTCATCAATTGGAAGCCTGATTTATGGTTTTGAAATTGTTATTGATAAAATATTTTTCAATAAAAATATAGAAATGGTGGTATAGTTAGCAAGAGAGAGATATTTTTTTTCTGGTATGGTAAAATCTCTTACATAATCTAAATAACTCTAGAAAATACGAAGAAATATATTTCAATGAATTTTTATCTCTTTCTTAACAAATGAATAATTTTGTTACGTACTATTCTTTCTTTATTCATACAATAAAACAATTGTAAGTCACTTTTAGTAACGCATTTCAATTATATTTGAAAATAAATTGATAATACTTCCATATTAAACATTTTTCTTTATTTATTTACTTTAATAGATTAAAATAT